GTGGTTGCGGAATGGAGCGTTTCAGCATAGTGGCCATAGCGGGCTGAATAGTGCCGCTACGGGCACTATAGTGGTGTTGTGTTGATGCTAAAAAAGTCCTAAGCAGAGACATTAGGGCTTTTTGGCGGTCTAATATTGGTATTTTAATCTCCAAAAAAATAAATCTATAATTTATAAAGAAGACTTGGATTTAGAAGATGATAATGATTGATGATTCCTATGTCTTTTTATTGTTAATTATGAATGTCATTTATTTTGAGTAATTTTCATCATCTTTTAGGATTTTTATGTGCATATATATAAACTGTAAAAAAAAAAATTCAGAATAGTGGCTATCCTGCTATTGCTATCTCCCTATAGCATTTTTGGGGCTGACTGCTGCATACGGCTTTCCAGGATTTAAAACATTGATAGATACACAAATATTTTGCATACATATGTGCTCTTCTTTCTTGTATATTTTCATGAAGTTGCTGGCTATTTTGGCAGGGGTCGGAAATGGAATCCTCTTCGGCAAAGGTTGGATAGCTTTGACTATACCGTGAAGCAACATATTGTTGGATCTCTTTTATTCACACCACTTTTACTTCTTTTACCAACTACTTCCGTTTTCTATATATTCTTTAGTATCGTGGACACAACCATTAACCTTGTCTGTCTACTGATTGAAGTCACTATTTCGGTAATTCATGCTACCCCTTATACCAAGATGTTTCTTTGGTTGGTGAGACCTGGAAGATTCCCTTCTGGAATATGGCTTGAAATCATTGGTTGTCAGATTAGTAGTACTGTTTCTCCAAGTACTGATTTTGCTGATGAAATGACCTCATCCAAGGAGTCATTACATGTAAAGGATTTCAATAGAGAAAAATCTAGTATTCTAGTTTCAGTTCTCCACAGCAACTACTTGAGCATAGGTGAGGCCTGAAGCTATTACTTGTGGGTTCAGACTGATGCTTCTATTCGGTTGTCGAAATATGTCTCCGTGGATTAATAGGAAAATTGAATATGTCATGTGTTCAATGTGTAGCTTTGCTTTGTGAAAAATGTGTAGACTTGCTCTATGTATGTCTGGGGCTTTTACACGAAGATATTGGATATATATTGTGAATTGTCTGTGATGTGTATTATAGTAAATCTAGCAATGATGATCTGTCTTTAGTTTTGTTGTGGTAAGTTCTTTTTGTCCTGTTAGCTTATCCTGATTAAAGCAACATAACATAGATCCAGACATTATAGAACATTTTTCAAGAAATGTTTATGGAAACTTGATTGAAATTTCTTTTGTGATATCAGACTTTTCCCCCATTCATGATTTTGATAGCTGTGACCTGGGAGCGGTTACAATTTGCATTATATGCCGCTGTTATATTTTTGCATGGACAAACATTATGTACTAACTTAAATGGATTAAATTTCAGGAAAAATTATATTGCCTCACTATAAAAATGTATTTTTGGGAGTTTCTGGGTCATCCATCTCCACAGTGGCTCACGGAATCCTCATTGGGCAAAGGTGTGATATCCTGGTGCTAAATGCTCTTATGGGTTTTATGATTTGATGACTTTCTCTGATTCTTTGTTCAGTATAACACTTTTTTCCATTTTGTTTGTTTATATTTTTGCTTTTTACTCTCTCCTTGACCAGAATGCCATATACGCGTGGCACCCTTCTACCTTCACCATTGCCATGGACGACCCTGCCTTACAAAGAGTATTGGCGCCTTTGCCATGATTCGCTTATTGCATGCTTCAGAAGATAACGGCTTTGGCTCAGGTTTTATTATTCATATTATTTGCTCGCGGATTCATTGACACAGTTTTCATCCAACATGCTCTTCTCTCGTGTTCGTGGTTTTTTCTCTTTTCAATGGGTAACATCGAGAATGCTTTACAATTGTTCTTCCGTAGTTCAGTGTTCTTTCTCTTATAAGCATGGTACAGCGGGCTTTTTTCTTTCCCGCTTTTCTCTTGCTGAGAATGATGAGTGCTCTATAAAAGTAACATTTATTACTAATCTGGTAAATATATTATTTAACTTATTCTTGGGCGCATATATGTTTCATTATTTGTTTTTATTATTGTGGGTTGGAAAATTGAAAATCAGTGTTATTACTGCTACTGTGAACTGGAGAAAAGTCGCTGGTCTGGATCCTGCATCCAAGTGATGTTTTGTTGTCCAAATTATTTTGGGACCGGTATATGCATAGGAACTAGGAAGAGATTTAGTTATTTCAAGAGTAAGCTTAATAATATATAACCTGATAACTTTATGGATTGAATTATGACAAACTAATTTTCTGAACTGATTAAAGTAGTTTGAATTGAGTTAAATTTGTGTAATTTGAATTAAATCACGATCAATATATTGGTTTTGGTTTTGGTTGGGTCATTAGGTATATAATATTAAAAGTAATTTTAATTTTTTTTAATATATATATATATATATATATATATATATAGCTGTGTTATATATGCAGTTTTTTTCCCTTTCAAATTGTTATGTTGTACATGACTTTTCTTTTTTCAAGTTATTTTTTTTATTAAAATATGATCATATACATTTTGATATTTGTTGATATTTCACAAATCAATTTCGTATATTTCAAGAACTAATAGAATTTCACATTTTATGAATATCGTTATGAAGCTTTTGTTTTCAAACAATAAGCACTGAGCAACCAACGATCCTTGAATTTTTTCATATGAATGTGTTGAAGATGAAGATGGGATAAGTGATTCATAATTTTATTGAAAATTTTTTAAAATGTTGATGATTAGTTTTGATTTTATATGGAGTCCTATCTTGTTTCAATCTATTTTTTTTTTAATAAAAAGTAAAAGTAAAAAATAAAAAATTCAGCAACCTATATAATTAACATTATAGATGTAACGAGCAATGAACTTATGTTAAGTTTCATTTGACAACATTGCCTATCAACAAATAAAAAATTGTGTGAACAATTCGTGAGCTATATCAATAAAGGAAATGAAGAAAAGTATCCTAGATAGGAAAAAGAAACAAATGTGTGATTGATTATTTAAACTCAAATGTATTGTGACTGTCACCAGTTTTCCTCATATAATAAAAATTTAAAATTTGTCTATGGATTAGGATGAATTTTCAACATTTAAATTCATTACCCAACACGAAGAAAAATACATAGGATTAGGTCGATCTAAAATCGCGAATGGAAGTATTTGGGTTGAATTTGATAGGTTTGGTTCATGCATAAACAGTAAACGTCCTGTGACTGTTGTTGCAACTGTTTGTCTGATCGTGATAAAATTATTGGATGTACAACATGTGAGGCTATCCGCAAAATTCGACATGTGTGAACCACATTGCTCGATTCTTGAAGGATGGTGGGTCGGTGCCATCAGTATATCACTGATAGTTTCTTTTCAATCAATTCATATCTGTTTATCTCTTCAGCGATATCTATTGTTCTGTGTTGTTTCTCATTGTAAACAGGTGCAGTCACTATCTCCCTCAAACAACAATGTGACTAAACAAAGCATGCATTGTGCGCAATGTGTCAATGACTACAGTGTAATTTTGTTTTTGTTTTGTTTTAAAAAAAAAAAGCGTATAGACACAGTTTATGTATCAAAGTTGAAAATTAAAGACTAATATATTATTTGATTAACGTAGTTAAATTTGTTAGTTTATGGGACGTGTAGCATTTTCAATGTAAACACGTAATATTGGAGGATTAATTTAGGTTACGTTCTCTACTTCTGATTGCATTATTTTTAAGCAATAATAATAATCTCGTGATCTTAGCAATGGAATGCTTTTAGGTTTTGACAAGTCTGACACATTTTGATGCGGTTCAGTGGGATGATTGATAAGAGGCAGAAATTGTGGGTTTGAGTCAAAACCTCTTAAATTGTGCTGAATAGGGACAAATGTTACTTCACGAGAGCAATCCAACAGAAATAAACTGAATACCTAACCCTCGCTCATTCTCTCACTGGTTGAGATGGACGGTTAACTTTTCCCATATTTTTCTATGCATAAAAAAAGGCACTCCATTCTAAAACAGAATAAAGGAAAGGTGAATATGGCAGCAAACGGAATGGGATAATTCATAAAACAATCAAATTCACCAATATGTTAATTCACCTAATTCAGTTGAGAAGCCCTACACAGTCCATGCCATACTAAGAATAAAGTATCTACCTAAAACAAAAAAAATGTTTGATTTTCACATGGTTTGTTTGATGTGTGATTCCCACCCTTGAAAGTTGAAAGGGATTGCTGTAAAATGTGAAGGTCGCTTTTCATATAAATAGCTAAAGTAATGGGGACTAGATCTATTTTAGTAGAAAAATTATGTTTAATTTTTATCATGTGAAAATTTGCTAGTTCAACAACAATCATCATAATATTATAAATGAGAATAGTCTTTAACCTAATAAATTAGAAAATACACGACTAAAAATAAGTTAATAAGCTTCATATTCATATTATAAAAAGTGAGTACAATTCTAAATGTTTATATGATAATGTCATTGAGTAATTTATGAGTATCTCTTTAAACGGTGTTTTTCTGTAGTCTTGATGCTATCCTAATTCCAATAAGCAGAGGTCACCTAAGCATTTATACATATATATAAAAAAAGAACACTAATAATGGTGTTACACTACAAGATTAAAGGGTAAAAAGTAGAAATGAGTAAGTGCAAAAATTAGTTCACGGGAATCTAATGGTATTGATTACTGAAAAGGATTCTGATATATAGTGCAGGTCTATATAAAAGACAAGGGAGGGAGGGTGTTTCCTAGTTCTTCTTGTGTCACGGTCTGAGTTAGTTAGTCTGAGCCCTGAGGCCTAAGGGTGTATCGGGAAGTCACATGGGAATGCACATGTTAGATGGCAACCTTTCCTTTTCACACTAACAACAATTCACATGAAACAAAACAACTCCATCAGCCCCTAGTTTTAACTTGTAGTAACACTCAGCAATCATGTGCCATTTTTTTGTCTTTTAATTCCCTTGTCATAACCATTGCTTTGTCTTCACTCTTTTTTTTTTTTTGAGAGGAGAGACTAATCTTTGAGTTTATGATCCATTTAATTGTTTTAACCTCTCTTAATTAATATTTCTTCTATACATACAAGCTTTATAGTGCTCGACTTCACTTTGTATTTATTAGAGTCACCAGCATTATAAAGGTAGTCCGTTGATGTCTTTCCCCTTTTCCTCATTTGTCACGAGTTCATCCCCATTTTCGGCTAACATTTCATAACAATTATTCAACTTAGAAATGACGAGAAGAAAAAAGATTTTTAAATACACAAGAGATATCTACACCCATATAAAGTTAAGAAAAGAATATATAAATGATTGATATGATTGATAATATGTATAACATGTAAAAAGAGATATATAAAGAAATTAAGAGTGGTAATGAGGTGTTTTGCTTACATATATACTTTATTTCATTATTTACTATGTAATAACTGATTTTTTGTGGCTGTATCCAAATATAATTAATTATCTTAAAATTACTTTTTAATAAACTTATTTAAATACATTGATTCCAATTATAATGAATTATAAATATAATTAATTATTAAAATAATCCAATTTTTGCATGTGTTCTGATCATTCCCTTAATGTAATAGATTTGCTAGCTTTTTCAAGTTTCAACTCTATGATGTTGCCTAGTGGTACATTCATTTGAGAAGTTAAATGGGCTTGATAATCCACATTAAGAAGCTTGAAATCATAACATAACACCTATATGGCCACTGATAAATAATTCTTATAGCAAATGGAGTGGAAAGCATAGGGAAGGATGTGTTTGTAATTGTCTTTTTGGCAAAACCAAGGTTGGACTGTTTCTATCTAAAACAATAGCTAGTGCCACATTTCATCTATAAAATGGGCTGAAATCTCATCTGCCACTAGTTAGTTGTTGAAGACCACACTTGAGATAACTTCTCTCAACTTCTGCTTTTCTTAGCTTCTTTGTGCGAGCTCCATTTTGAGCAATGGCTAGAAAATTAAGCATCATTATACTCTGCCTTGTTCAAATGCTGCTTCTTCTCGTTGAAAACCATGTAAGCCAAAACAAATCATACGCTTCTCTTTCTCATTTTCTGATACCTTTAAGCTCAGTTTAGTATTCGTACTCTCTTACACCTAATTAAGCTCTGCATTGTTGCTTCCACTGGAAATTCATTCTCTTATATATATACTTTTTGTCACAAGAGATCCCTTCATATCATCATGGTTTCAAGTTGAAGTTAGTGTGATTATTCTGATAACCGTATTATTTTCGTAAAGTATTCATTTTTTTTTATTTTATCAATGATTGATTTTTCCAGGAGAACCTAAATGATGATCAATTTTAGTAGAGTTTTTTCATCCAAACATATATATATTTTTTCCATTTACAAGATTTGAATTGAGACATTGTTTAAAAGAGTTGATAAATGACTTGTTTCCAATGCCATTTTTTAGTATATATAGTTAAACAATTTTGTTGTTGTTGTTGTTGGTGTAACCGTTGTATTTAACACTATAGAGAATGTTCATTATGTTTATGTAACATTGATAATTATGCTTTCAGGCTGAGATTGTTGTGTCCACCGTTGAGGCTCCAGCTCCGCAGCCTAGCAAAAACGCCACTCATTTTCCCAGTGTGAGTTTTTTTTTTTTTTTTTGGTACAACGTGAGAATTTCTGAGAATTCTGTTTTTCGTTACGGCAATATATATATCATACTTTGCAATTTGATTTGTTCTTAGATGTCGACTTTGTAAGTTTTTAGAAATTGGGAGATATTAAACATGCTTTCTTTTGACTGGATCAAACATGATAAACATTATCAAATAAAGTAGGAAAAAAAGTATTTAGTGTCCTTAAATTTTATCATTTTTATAAATAAACACCATAAATTTTAAGTTTATTCTAATTGATGTTTAAACTTTGTCTTGTTAGTAAATAGATACTATAAATTTTATTTTTATTATAATTTACCCTTAAACTTTACCATTTCTACAAATAAATATCTTGATTGCAATTTTATCTTTATTAATTTTTTTAAGTCTATTATATTACATTGAGATTAAATTACTAAGATAAAAAAATATTAATCATTTATTTATTTTAAGTTACACTTATTTATTAATTTTTTTTGTACATATATATTAATTTTATTTTCATATATATTAAAATATAATATAATTTAGAAGAAGAAAAAAATCAAATAAAGGCTTTTTTTATAATTATTTTTATCATTTTTAAAAAAATTTCTAAACACGTATTTTTATTTTGTTTTGAAAAATAAATAATTGTAACATAAAAAAATATTAATGAATGATTGATATTTTAAGATAAATAATTTAACTCTAAATTAATAATATAAAAATCTTGTAAAAATAATAAATTATTAAATACTAAAATCAATTAGAATGAAATTAAAGTTGAAGGTATTTATTTATAAAAAGAGTAAAACTTAAGGATTAATTGAAATAAAATTAAAGTTTATAATACCTATTTATAAATCAGGTAAAGATTAAGGGTTGATTATGGTAAAATAAAAGTTTATGATATCTATTTATAAATAATAAAAAAATTAGAATGGTTGATTACTCTTTTCTCAATTGAGTACTATTATGTTGTTAAATTATCGATAATTAAAAATGGAAACGTACATGAATCCGTTATTGTTGAATTATTATATAGTTAAGATGTTTGTTTTCCAAATTGACGATGATTGAAGTTTTCTAAATGTTCTGGAGGAAAACAGACTTCTTTATGACATACAATCTGGGACATTGTCCCTTATTTATAAACCTAATTAATTTTTTTTTATATTTGTGTTTACGGTAAAAACACGTTTAAGGGTTCTTTTTACTCGAACTAGCACGTAAATGGTTTCAATTTAGGATTTTTGATTTAAGAACAGGAAAAGGAGTGAACAACTTTAGTAATTACTTGTTTCCAAAGATTCTTCCATAATTAACAAGCAATAATTTTCATACATATAAATACTAAGATGAACAGAATGAATAATTAAGATACTTGCAATACAAATCATGGTTCAACTTGCATCATGTTCCAGAGTTACAATATCAAAGTAATATAACTACGTGATTAAAAGAAATAACTAAGAGAAC